ACAAGAACGAAGACCTATATCAACCGCACGTCAGCTCAACAAGATCAGTTTATAACACCGTATAAATAAATATATCAACTTTTTGACATTCATTAAAAGTAAGGACATTAAAGCAAAAAATTTGAGAAATTTTCCTCCATAAGCTCATATTCTGCAGCACGCCGGATCGACGGCTCGAAACGCTGTTGAATTATGAAGCCAAGAAAGTGCTAACGAAAGCAGAGCGCAGCATTGGTTTAAAAGATTTCCTCGTGCCAAATTCAACCTTGAAGATGAGAATGCTCGCAGACGTCCTGCTGATATTGAGGACGATGAACTGATTGCTTTTGTGAGAGCAAATACATGCACAACTTACTGGAAAGACGAAGAAACTCGACAAATGGATACGCTACGATTTGGCGACATGTTCTGCAAGCGACACTCCAAGTGCAAGAAATGCTTTAAAAACCAACCGATTTCGGAGCTGCCTTCAGTGACTTCATCGATTTCAAAAGTCTATTTTGCACAAGCTGTATAAAAAACTTGACTATAAGTGAGAAAAATGCGTAGACTCCAATGATATTTATTTTGATCAACAAGGTTTATCTGAGCTGAAAGATGCCACTTTAAAAACAGAGGTTGAAACCTGCCACCGACTTTAAAAGAAACTATATATGCTTGAAAATACACATATATATATATATATATTGCTCTTAGATGCTTAGGCTAACACAAAGTTGGAAAACAGTTTATTACGTTAGCGTTTCGCCGTCTTTATCTTCTTAGATAACAAAAGTCGATGGTCTGTAGTCGCCCACACTCGCGGCGTTGGTCTTCGTTGTTGCACCCTAGAATCTTCTAGAGTTGCCCATTGCTCTAGTGAAGTAACCTTAATGAAGACTATTTCAGGCGGTCCAACTACAGTTTGATGTAAGAGCTCCTCATTTCCTTTCCCAGCATGGTCAAATAGAAACAAAGTCAATCCCACATTTTTTATCTAAAAGATGAACTAGGATTTAGGCGGTGTGGGGAACTAGTGTCGTATTGGACTAGATCTAGCTACAAGTTTGCAAAAATTTAGTTGAACCAGAGTGTCGGCAAATGCCTATAGTAATGTCGAGAGAGGGTCGTGGCATAGATTCTTCTACTCGAGGGAAATAATTTGTCAAATAAAGTTAACTTTTTTATTTACAGCCTTTTACATTCTTTCACGGCCGGCTAATATTGTGTATTATACAAGCACAGTGATGCTGAAATATTTACAAAACTCCGAACCGCAGGTCCTTGCGATGGCGAACCAACGCGCTATTACTCTTTCCGGGAGCTAACGCGTTCACCACCGCACCATGGGAGTCCTTCGTTTTGCGTGTTTCTCAGCTAGTTTTCTATCGATCACTGCCATCAGCAATCATCCGTCAACGCGATATATCTGGGGAGCTCAAATCGGCATTGAACCCAGTTAAGATGAGGCTGTATTTGAAAATCTCAATGTTAACTTTTTTATTTACTTTTTAAATTGTCAAATAGTTTGCCTTTCAAGTGGGGAACGTTCTAAAACTCACGCGTTTTATCACAAGGGTGTCCAAAAAAGCCACTGAGGGATAAAAAGTCGACCACTCACAGTTATGTCGGTGAAGAAGAAGTTCAAAACGTCTTACAAATTTCCTAATACCCATTATCAATGACACTGTACGATAATTGGTCTGAGTAAAGTGAAAGTCTACGGCAAAGGAGAATACTTTGTTTAAATAGTGACTGGGTTGGTATCTATTTGTGAAAAGACTCAGTGTGATCTTAACCCTTTTATTTACTGCCTTTTTCTTTTTAATGGCAGAGTATGTTGCGAAATATAACTCGTACATAATGCTGAGATATTATAACTCGTATATAATGCTGAGAGACAGGCAAAACGAAGGACCCGGATGGTGTGGTGGTGAAGTGCGCCTACTCCCCGGAAAGGACAATAGCGCGCGTTCGTTCCTCACCGCATACACCTACGGTCCGGAGTTTGGTAAAATATCTCAGCATCATATGCTCAGTATGATATTAAGAATAAGCTGAAGATGGTTCTTTTTATTACGCAGAATTATCGAGCCACTGTTAAATAAAATACGTCCAAGCTCTGTGGAAGGCAAAATCGCCGAAGCGTCAGCCATCGACCAACAACAACAGCGAGTACTACTACTATAACTACAACATATACTAACTTCGCATCAGCTCAACAAGAGCAGTTCATGAGAACATATAAATAAATATACTTTGTCTGCTTTGCCGACGGTATCATTCCAAAGATGTCGATAATTGTATGCCGAGCGAATGCTGGTCGTTTGCGACACCACATGTGGAAGTCTTTACCTAAGGCTGGACGTAAACCAAACTGTCTTCGTTAGAAATTAAATGGATCTTAGTACCCTTTAGAGACTACTTTCCACAAAACACATTCTCTACATCTCTTTGTTCATACGTTTTTTATGATCTGTCCGCAGAATGCTCCATAAAATCTATCTCACTTCATTTACTTCGCAACTAAAGCCCAGTAGTGTAGTCGTTCATTATTATCTACACCCTTGTATAGGAATTAGAACGAAAAAACCATGATCCTTATAGTAAATTCAACCTGATCTAAACACTATATTGGAATGACTATTTAAGAACGAAATCATTCGTGCTTCCCTGCTTAATTGTATCATGCTTACATCACCTGTATCACATATCGTCCCGTTGATTACCGGGTGCGCACAGCACGCGCCAGTTAGCCTTCCTTGTCTCCCTGTCGTCGTGTACAGGAGTAGTCCAGCCGGTTTTCCTCTCTTTAAGGACTTGTTGAGCAGCTTATCTTTCTCTAGGGTTCTCGTGAAGAACTCTGGCCATCTAGTCGGTGCTGCTTCCGCAGTACGTTTGTTATGCCGAGAAATCTAGTAGCTAACGACGTTTTTCCATTGTTAATCATTCAAACTAATTATGCGTTCGGAAAATCTTGTCTTCGACTATTTGGCATATAGAACGACGTGTTTGACTGTCGACCATCGACGCAAGTCTGAGCATCGGATCCCAGTCCTCAGTCGTGTGATACGGGCTATTTCCAGTGTCTTCTTTTCGACTGCGGGTTCTACAACGCGGAGTGACCTTTCATCTCGCTTAAGTAGCGACCATGTCTCAGGAGCATACCTATTGATGGAAAATTTCCATCAAATCTTCTTCACTATCTATACCACAATCTTTCCTAGAAGTACCAGAGAAGTAGAGAGTATGGTCGACGAAATCAACGAAGCAGAAAGAAGTTTGGTCCACTCATAAACCAAGAGAAGACCCCACTCACCGAAAACCTATGGTGCGAAGGAGAACAGAACGAACTGGGTGGTTCTCTAATTACAAAGATCAGCTCGCGCTCGGCAAATCATCATGTGGAATTTAGGGAAGGAAGGTGGAAGGTGAATTTAGAATTAAACTGAACAAGAATAGTAGCATGGGCCGCAATCGAGCTTTACATAGAAGCCACCTTCCAACTTACGAACACAAAAATCCGCGCTCACTACTTCGATTCAAGAGTTCTCCCAACGCTTTGTTATATAGCAGAAACGTTGGATAATACTTTAACCGCGTCAAGAATACTGCGCACTACTTACAGAGAGCATGAACGATCTCTTCTGAAATATAACCGGCACACACAACATCAACCTGGAATTTGATGTCGTGACCTTCAAAATTTATTTCATCATGGAGAAACTGGAGGGCACACACCTGTGGCGAAACATAGATGAGTCGCTCATGTAATTAGAAGAACAGACAACAGATGAACGAAAAGAACTGTAGTAGAATGGACTCCATGAGAATGCAGACGTCCCCTAAGAAGAATATCTAACCGTGGGTTGGACGCGTCTATAGCTAAAATTATTCAGTTGTACTTGCAGCTGCCGGTGTTTTAAACACAGATCGTGGTTCGAAACTTGCACCTACTAACCATGCTGGAATCAAACCACCACCATTGACGACATTTATAGTGATACCGACTTTTGCAGGTTTGATTGTTCGAGAAAAACCAATTACTATCACACTATCACCGGACAATCACAGCTCTCAACCATCAGCAGCGTGCATAAAACATTCGTGGAAATGAACAGCTGAGGAGAACCTGAGTCGACACGAAGGCGACCCCGCCCCATCGATACGAATAGCGAGCGTGGACCATCGACTCGGATCATCGGCTCTGATGAGGACGGAGACATCGAAACTTTAGCCTACAATAAACGTATTTATCAACTTTTTATTTCTAACTTCGGAACGAAGTTCTTCTCAATCAAAGCTCGCCACAACACCCATTCTGGGTAAACTATCGAAAGATCACAAAACCTTTGGCAAGAAGCTCCATGTGGAAAATCAACCAGAAAGAGTATTGTGCGCTGCATACGATCCATTTCGGCTTGTTTTCGGAGGAGCGCTTGCACCACATAGGGTTCAGCTCGGCGTTAATGTGTTCGTGGTCTTGAATGCATACCACCCTAATGGAATGATTAATTACAAACGCCATGTCTGCCGCAGTCCATTTCTGCGAGTTGTGTTTAGAATCAGTTGAGATTGGAAAACGAACCACAAGTGGGCCCAACCAAACAACTATATTGGAAAGACAATGTTCAAGCGACAACAGAACAGTTGCTCATTAGCTAAACATGACCCAATTTACAACAAAAGGTGGAACTTTGAATAGTGTGACACTACGTTTTCTCGCTCTGCTTCGACGTCGACACATTTGGAGAAATATACTGCGATCAAAAATTCTTATATGGCATTTCTATTGGGGAAAAAATTTATTGGAAAGAGCAACGAACCCAATAGGCACTATTATATACTAACTATATAAACCATGAGAATCTTCCGAGTTTTTCACAAGCGGTAGCAACAGAAACAATGAGATTTAAACAATCTTAAAAATCAGATTGACCGAAGACGGACAAAGTTATGAAAATCAAAACCCGAATAGAACAAATAAATAGAAATAGTGAAAAACATTGGAGGCAGACAAACTACAGCTCTGTGCGGTCAAGATCGACATCAGAGAGATCAACGTCCTCCTCAACGGGAAGTTGGCCATCCTTGCCGTCCCATGGCTCAATCTTGATGATTTTGGGAAAAACAGCGCCCTAAAATTGCGAAACTATCAGCATGTTCTATAAAATGGAACTCATTGCAGAACTCGTTCTTATAAGACTTTTACCTTTACAGGTGCTGTTTGTCCTTTCCCATAACTGAGATCACGCAGGAATTCGTTAATGCCATCACTACCGAATGATCCCTGAAATTAACACTACCTATATACTATTGGACTATTTATGACACCATTTAAATATTTTTTAACACTATGCCAAACGGAGGGAGTTAAAAGCTTGGAAACATACTTTAAGCATGGCAAATTTCATCTTCCTATAATTCATAGCAACCATTGCAGGATAACCAAATCCTCCTACTCCAAATGCTTCCTCTAATTCGCTTTGAGCAGCAGCTTCTACCCAAATCCATCTTGAATAAGAATTCGTCGTTAAAAATCTTTTATAAAACACAAGCGCAACATGTTTCACAAACCCCCAGCCATTCTTCTTATATTTTGCTCCCATTTCTTGCAAAAGATTGAGGTAATTGTTGCGACATTTTGATTGACAATCGAGAATATGAGGGAGGAAAGCAAAAATGCATAACTGCTTCTCCTTACACTGTTCTGAAATGTCAACTTAGAAATTAAAAGTGACTGCAACGAAAGTGTGAGAAACACATTATACCTTCAACGACATCTTGCACGGTAGCTTCCACCACTTTTGGAGGTGGAAGGTTTTCCAATGCCTAAAAATAACTTAAGAAATATTATGAGACACACGTTCATTGTAATACACACACATGGACAGATACCTTGGAAGTGGCCCAGCTCACAATTCCTGCAGTTGTTCTGTCTCCATCATATTCAACAGCATCACTTGCATCAGAATCAGGAGCGAAGTATTTAATCGTAGGGTACCCATGAATTCCAAATTTGTTTGCCATAACTGTGTGGACGGTTGCATCGAGAGCCCCAAGCTTGAAAAATGGAAGATGTAGGGTACGAACTATATATGTATAACAACATTCATGGGATCTAACTGGTACTAAATTGATGAAGAATAGTTTCAGTTCTTAAACACTAGCGCTAAAACATTATCGCAGCTCTGCAAAGGCTTTGCAACGACCAACTTTTTTATGGCCGTTTTCAACTATTCATCATAACTATCGAAATGATTTATTCTTAATTTAGTTGAAGAAGACATGTGAATATGGATCTAGCGGAATCCAACTGAAAACTATGTTCGACCGACATTCAACATGTAAATGAGGAAAGAAAACAAAAAAAGCTCGAGCTGCGATTGGCCGACGTAGATGAGTGATCAAAACTCCTTTCCCGTTGCTTACTTTGTCACGCTTTTTCTGTATTTTTTGTGTCCAATCGACTTATCTAATACAGAATGGTGTATCAAACGTTTGACCAGCTATTTCATATACACTTAGTGGTATACAAAAACTTTTCCACACAAAGATTGTTTGTCAAGTCAAGCAAACTGTTACTGATGAGGAAGGTGTAAAATCGCCAAATGTATCACAGAGTGGGATGCTAATATTTCTCTTCGTCGGGTAGCGTCTCGCAAAAATCCCGCGGTGATTTACGATCGGATCATAACTTCATATCTTCTGATTATTCCTTGATCGCTAGAGCAATTCAGGAGTTCAGGGCTTCACAGACTCTCAGCAGAGAATTCGATCTATCGCTTCTATTGTGTATACAATCTTTACAAAATTATCCTTCAATTCCGAACTCACAAAGGATTAAAATCCTCGGAAAAAAATTGAAATCGAATTCTTAAAATTACGAATGCCAGCGCGATAGCTGCAAACACCAACAGTATATTAAGGAATACCATCCTCTCCTTTCCATGTTGAACAAAATCCTGCTAGTTCAACCGCTTCGACAATATAGGATGTGGAATACGAGTTCAAACGAAAAAAAAAAAGAAAAAACGTATAGCCTCCATAGAAACTATTCTCTGTCTCAAGTAATGACACCTACTGCTTAATAATATCAAACATTTCCTACGTTATTTGTACATTTTTCACCGAAGTGGCAACATTCAGGAAATGCGTACATATTCTCTAATTAAATATCGTGTACATTTCGTGCTAAAAAATTGCAGAGATAAACGGAATCTCACAGGATTTGAATAAGAAAACTTTCAGCTGGCATGCAGATTTCTTAAAGATCCGAAACTTCTATTTCCCAACTAAAGTACTCCCGGAGCCGCGTTATGGCCGCTTGGCAGGCTCAATGTGACGGCAGTTTTTAAATAATGGAAGATTTCTTAATCAACAGAGTAGTGCAGAAAACGACTAGTTTGAAAACTGGATGAGTAGAAGAGTTTTGTCAATTGCCCTAGGAGTACGTGTAATTATTATGAAATACTATTTCAATTCCAAGTTCATTAGAAATCGAAATTCTCAAAAATGTTTAGGCTCCTGGAACTTCCCACGGAAGCATTGCAGCCTTAGAATGAAACGATGAAATTAAGAATACTACCATGTCCTCCTGCAGGAAAACCTGCTATTTTAATCCCTTAAATGTTGAAAATACGCGCTACTATGTTCGAAATGGGCGGCTAGAACCAAAAAAAAAGTGGGAAAAAATATGCCAGAGAGGTAAGAAAATTCAAAAAACTCATCGTTGTAGAGCATGAGGCCATGTGTCATGGACGTAAGCATTTGTACTTCCTAACGAGCTCAATTTAATTTAATACTAGCTGAAAGCGGCCGTTATTTTGGCACGATATGAATGATTTAAATCACAGAGCTTCAAATGATGGAGTAAAACAAAGTGTTAACGATAAGGGTATATATGGGCGTACCTAGTATATACGTGAGGGATCAGACCAGCTAGCATGCGTTGACTTCAAATCGCAATATGGCGGTAAATTAAGCACTAATCACATGCAGAGGCAACATGAATTGCGACACTCGACTCAAACTACCAAGGACCGACGCAAGTGAAAGTTTTATTTAAAAAAAAAACGGAATATCACATAACAATACTTTGATATTGTTCCACTATAAAAAACTAGGACTTAAAACAGCAAAAACTAAAACATCTGTTTAAAGCTACCAACATGTTAAATATTCAACACAAATATTGTTACTTAACGACGTTAGTATGACTAGTAACGAAGTAAAACATACCTTAACTTTACCCTTGAGTTGCGAGGCAGCCGCCTTCCAGTGTGGCTCGAGATTCTTACAATGTCCACACCATGGAGCAAAAAATTCAACAAGCCAAATGTCCTTGCTTTTCAATACAAGCTGAAATTATAGAGATACTTAATTTACAAATCCGAGACAACCCAGACATGAAACCCTTCCAGTAACACGGAATATACAATGACCAACCAAGTATCTAGGTTTAGGAATGTCGTTCACAATATCCTGCCAATAAAAACAAGTTTTATTTTGCAGTAGTAGTCTGAGAATAATCTACTACAATTTTTAACGATAAGTTCCCAGAGATTCAAAAAAAATGAGAGTCAGATGAAGCACGTATCGAGATGTGTTTAAAAAAGACAACAGAAACTTAGGACTAGGTACTTGTGAAGCAAGAAAGAGTTCCGCGATTTCAGTGAAGATCGAGATATAGTAACACATAACCACTACAGGAAAAAAAAATGGAGAAAACTGTTAGTAACATATAAAATGATATTTTTTCACAACATTTCTGTATAGAAACTTTTGTGTCGACATGGTCTTCTAGTAGAAGGAAAGAAGTGTAAAATAAATGAAACCTTAAGAATTCGAACAAAGGACAAATGATGAAGCTCTAGGAGTTGACCAATCTCTGAGGCATGCACCATGGATTCCAATTCATTGCATCGTTAGAGGTCACTGAATGCACATCTGAGCCATACAATGCCTTGCAGTGGCTTAAAGATGCACCGAGACAGTGCTGCTGTCCGCCCAGGCAAGTTTGGTAACAATTTCCCAATTCCGAAGGGATGGAAGGGTTGGTGGGTCCGGAGCAACGGATCGAACCAACGAGCATGTGTTTATTGCAGGGTACTTCCAACCACTGTGTTACACAAGGAATGGTAGTACCACTGCTGATAGTTGAACATATTCATCATTCCAACAGTGAACAAAACAGAGAATGATATGACCTCATTCAAATCAGGAGGCAGTCACATCGCATCCTGTCTTCGGAACGTTGCAACGAAACTCTTTAGAAATAAGAGAGCTGCAGCAAACAGGGTACAGGGTGGCACTGTTCGCCTTTAATCGATCCGCCGACTAATTCCTAGAATCGCTGCCTCGTAAGAACGCCAGTGCTCAAGGAACAAACCTGGCTCCAATAAACAAGTGTTGAAAATTCCTCTAAAAAAAAGGAAAGGAAAACGGAAAAGCGCCAGCACACCTAGATCAATGGTAAGGAAAGCCGAAAGTTCATCCATCCACACATCATCGTAACTGTGTTCGTGGATGACGGCAGCAAAACAACGCAATGAATGAGAAAACTTTTCTTGCTAGGATTTCAAAAGAAGATGAGACATCTAAGTGCTTAAGTAAGCAAAAAGCACCGATTTGTTGCCACATGATTAAATCCGTTATATAGTGATGAACAGTTCGATAACTTAATAAAAACGGTAGGTAATCGTAGACCACAGAATCCCTATTATACAACTCGAATACCATAAAATTTTCGTAGTGATGGATATGAAGAACGAAACACCTTGAGCAGCGATAGTATTATATTCGTGGATCCAAAACCTCCACTCTTTTTGTTGGAATGGGGATTCTCTGGTGTTCCATATGCAAAAAAAAATATCTCTACCAAAGTTGTTTTCATCTGGAAAGGAGAGTGATTCTCGGACGCAACTGCGCCTATTAGCACAAAACACGACTTGCTTTGATTACAATGAATTTCTTGAATATCCTTAAATCCCAAACCTTCTCAAAGTTTTCATCGGTAAGTTCGACAACATCACTTCCTCCTCCGCTACCACCACGACCTGCTGATCCTCCTGAACCTCTAGAGCTCTTTCCGCCAAGACGAGCAGACACAACTTTCTTCGCCGCATCAAGAACAGCGTCTGCGATAGCCTGTGCTGTCCTTGCCCCTACAACAACACCATAGATTACCAAAAAAACGTGTAATCCTTGATACTTGAACTCTTTCTGTAATCCATACCCATTCCAGTCGTTGACTTTTAACTATGAATGTTTACTCTGCAAACCAAGTGTCAAGGTCAACGACGCATAGTGGGTATGATCAAATACTCCCAAAATTCGCAATAATATAAGGACTTTAGAAAAGGCAAAAACACGGATAGTGGTGGAAAGGAGCGGTAGAGGAGAGGACTTATTTTGTTACATGGAGGACTGATTTATTTATGAATGTAGGCTCCATGCTTTCAAAGAGATAGTCTCATAAAGTAGGAAAGCAATCTGGGGAATTCTACTAGAAATACTCAGTATGGAATTATACCATGAGAAAAGCACCTAACCATTGTAGTCAGAGGGTTTATTCTTGTCAGCAGCAAATATCTTGATAGTGGGGAAACCCTGGACGTTGTAGGGACTTCCGACGGACTGGTGCTGCGTCATATCAACAGCGCCAACCTAAAAGTACTACAATAACAATGTCTATTATAGTGATAGTGTCAGTGGGTTTATCGTAAACGGAGGTGGAATTTGCCTTGGCAATTCCTTTAAGGGCCGATGCAGCCTTCTTGTACTCTGGAGCGAGGTTCTTGCAATGCCCACACCTGAAAATTGGTGAAGAAAACTGGAAATGAACTAAAAGTGTAAAATGATGGGTCAGTTGAAGCACGATATTCAAGTAAACTGAAGACATACCATGGCGCATAAAATTCGACTACCCATAATTCATCACCATTAATGACCTTATTTTGAAAATTTGCAGACGTCAACTCCACCACATCGTCCTGAGGACCGTACAGTGAAGAACATGCCGGGATGACTGAAACGCACAACAGAACCGTCAACACTATAACAATATTTCCACGAAACAGCCAAAGCATGGAAGAATGACATCAAATACGAGTTATGGGAACACCACTTACACAGAATTGCTGCGATTAGCAACATGATCCGTGAGCTGACGACCTGCTCGATAAGACGCGACGACCTGAGAGGGACAGAGGCCGGAGTAGATATACTCCAGGCCACGCCTCGGCACAGCCGTGTTGCGCCGTGATTGGCCGACCTCCAGGAAGAGCCGTCACTGCCTCGTACGCGGTCCCAGCGCGACTTTCCTGGAAACTACTGTACAGTGGCCATGAACGCGTCCTTGAACACGTCAATGCGTTTCGCCCGGCCTAAAGTCCTGTCTGGGCATGGGAATGTCAGTGCTGGTGTTCAGATGCTGTGTTCACATAGTGTATGTAGTTGTCATGGTATAGCTCTTAGGCTTGGAAGGCGTTATTGACCCAGATCCCAGGACTCTGTAGTCTTGTGTTTGGCGACCACTTCTTTAACTCTTTTCTCTTTTCATTAAGCTGGTTCAGAGGATTACTTCCACTTTACACTTTGCTAACCGAGTCTATCCTGTGTAGTCTGTGACTTTAGGCATCATGTCTGATGACTGGGCTACGCAGGTTGAACAAAAACCTGTAGCTGACGCTCCGACCATAGAAATGCCTGAGGTGTGTTGTCGTTCTATTTGTTGTAATTTCTGCGCAGTTTTTTTCTTTTGTGCCATTTTCGTGCCATTTAAAGCTAGGAACTGTGTAAGAACGAGAGAAGGCTAACCAATTGACGCCATGAGAAACTCGTAGTTATACCGGAATCTCGTGTCGAGTTTTCGTTTGCTCTGAACAGCTACTTTTATTAAACGTATAATGCATTTTATGTTTTAGTCAGTGTTTTCCTAAATGTCGTCATTAGTGTTTTTGTGCAGGTGAAGCTCTTTGGCAAGTGGTCCCTTCAAGATGTAAACGTTTCTGACATCACTCTTGTCGACTACATTGCCGTAAAGGACAAATGCGCTAAATATCTTCCCCATTCGGCTGGTCGTTACCAGGTGATCACTTCATTATCATTGTTCTTTTCTTTTCCTTCTTTCTACTTCTGTTAAATCCCACGTAGGTGATGCGGTTCCGCAAGGCTGGCTGCCCAATTGTTGAACGTTTGTGTAACTCGATGATGATGCATGGTCGTAACAATGGGAAGAAGTTGATGACCGTGCGTATTGTTAAGCACGCTTTCGAGATTATACACTTGCTTACTGGAGAGGTGAATATCTTCGCTCATAGCATATCTAGCCTTGAATTGGTTCTGGTTACTTCAGAACCCAGTGCAAGTTCTAGTCAATGCGGTGATCAACAGTGGCCCTCGTGAAGACTCTACTCGTATTGGACGTGCTGGTACTGTCCGTCGACAGGCCGTTGATGTAGCGCCTCTTCGACGCGTAAACCAGGTTTACCTCCTTTGTCAATCTAAATCCTTTGGAAAACTTCTCGGATAAATCAAAGGGTATCTGTTTTGGGCTATTTGGTTGCTGTGTACGGGTGCTCGTGAAGCTGCATTCCGAAATATCAAAACCATTGCCGAGTGTCTTGCTGACGAGCTGATCAATGCTGCAAAAGGTTCCTCGAACAGCTATGCAATTAAAAAGAAGGATGAGCTGGAACGTGTTGCAAAGTCCAATCGCTAACTCTGTTATCGTTACTACTTTTATCATCTGGTTATTAGGACGGCAAAGGTTTGTTTGTCAAAAATGCTCTAACTACACTCTATTTGCATCTAATTGGATAGTGTCGTTTACCGCTCTCTCTCAGTATTTCTATTAACATACGACCAATGTCTTCGTTTCACACTGTGTCTCATATGTTTGTATTATTCCTCATCGTTGCTTACTAATAACTGGATTATTTGATAACGTTTGTTGTTGAAACATTTCTTGCTTGGCTCATAAATGGAAGGTTTTATTGCTGAATAACTCAATGCATTCTATAAATATGAGCAGTTGTACATGTCTAGTCGTACTATGCTGGGATTGAACTCCATAATTGTCGAAGATATTGAGCAGAGTGGCGGGTATACTGATAGTGGTAAACGACGAAGTCTTCCAAAGTGTGTTTATCGAACCCACTGTGGTGTAGTTGTTGTAACCGAGTACATGAAGCGACAATACCTAAGGAAACGATTTGTAAGTCTGTTTTGGTAAGAAGTACATAGGAAAACCCACCCATCATTACGTCGTCGAGATGAACATAAGGAGTTCTGCAGAAGTTTTCGAGGAGCACTTGGGCTGCTTTTCGTGATAGAATAAAAGATGATCCCTATATGGAACCACAAACGACTATGCTACATACGCCCTTCATAGGTAACACATTTATATACATCTATGCTAATGTACAGATGGTTAATGTTTATACATATATTCGTGTATCTATTATATGTAGTGGTTTCATGTTTCGTAACCACGTGCTAATGAGACGTTACCTGGGTAAAACGAGGGTAGCACAAATTTGAGTACATCTCGCCTGGAACATGCCATGGTAACCATGACATAAATAGCCGTGGATATCCTCGAGAAACTTTTCCTAACGTCCATGGTTCGGTCCGTTCAATTGTGAAAAGCTTAGATACGCAGTATCAGCGTTAACTCAGTTTTCTAGGTAAAATATGCGTACCCAAGCCAGTGCAGTGACGTTGACGATTGTGTCGTCGTTTGTGACGATGATATCCTCTACCGAAGGTGTTTCTTTCATGACAAAGCGGTAGATGGCCATCATTTTTAGGGACAAGTTATGGTATGAGTCAATGAAGTCAAATTGCAGTATATCTAAAAATTAGTGCAAGTATTGTTTCGTCGGACTTTACATGTAATATGATTTACCGTCGTGCTTAGTGGCCTCTAATGTGACATCAGCACCCAGAGCACACACGAATACGACTGGTGCCAGTGACTCTACCTGTAACTGTCGTTTTGCGAATGACAGGATGAGATGATTAATCATCTGTTACCTTAGATTTCCAAGTAGCTCTTATAAAATTGCGATAGTCTGCAGATCCGGGAGCCGTCCTTATAAAAAGAATTCTCTGAGGATGTTCTGGTAACTTTGGTCGTCGAAGTATGTTCGGTGCCATTGAGAGAGTACATTCGGAGTCTGGTGTACGATTCGGAAAATACTGACGTATACCTGCATAGAGTTGTTTAAAATCATGACAGAGAAATGGGGCTGCATAGTTCTCGTTTCAAAAGGTACATTCCGAAGCATCCCTGCGCAGTGGCCGTGACGATAAAAGATCAGTTTGTGTGTAGCACAGGAGCCGGAACGGTAATAAAGATCGTTCGAGGTAGTTGACCAGCTAAATATTAGTGTTGTGACTAGAAACATCGAATCAATGAAAGAAGAAAATTATTCTTGTAGTAGGGATTCCTACCGTTGATAAGTTCACCAGTCGAGATCTGTGCGCCGTTTCACAGCAAACACTACGAATCTCTTTGCCGAGCGTCCAAAAGTTTATTTTCTAAGGTTTCTCACTTATAATTGTAAAAGAACGATAAAGAAATACCCACCAATAAATACGGTAGAGTCCAAGCCAGTTGTAGTACAGTCAGTTTAAATGGAGACGGCGACGGCTGATGGCGTTTTAGTAAAACGTGGCCGGCGAGTGTTCGCCAAAGCATCGTCGAGTGCCGAGATTGGGATCGAAGACGATTTGTTCGTAGGTGCTGAAGACGAGAGAGGGAGAGAAATAGAGGTGTCTGAGGTGTAGGGTATGCGCGATAGTGATCGCATCACAATATTCGATACCCATACCTAAATTAGTGAAGGATTTTTACACTGTTCAGAGCTTTCGAGTGGAACTATTAGGAACTCCTTACTTCCGAACGTATACCTTTCAACGAGTACCTGTTCACTGTGTTTAGATCTACTGGATTCTTTACATCGCTCACTGTTGAGATCCATAAAGACGGACACAAACGTTAATCGCGTTAAAGTTTTCAGTGCCCAGTCTTCTGCTTTCTTACATCACTTGCGGGAACGCGCATCTTCTGCAGTGTCAAAATCCCGTACACGTACTTCATGGCACTATGCGCTGTCTGGTGAACATGTGTTTTTTCTTTTAATTTGAAAATCTGGTTACGTTGAAATGTCCAACATTAACTTGAGCATGGTGTTCTTTCCGCGATCGCGACATTTGTTCGACTTAGGTAAAAGTGGGCGTGTATAGCGTAGTGGTCGGAGGCAGCCTGCAGTACACCAATACACATGGGATCGATCCCGGCAACCCAGGCTCACCAAGCCTTCCATTTTTCCGGGGTCGGCAAACTGGTACCAGACTTGCATGGGAGGCCAGCAGCACTGACTCGATGCATCGGTAGGCCACTGCGAGTCATTATAAAGGCAAGATATGCGTTCAGTCGCCACCAGCGATGCTACGAATGTAGCCGAATGCATGGCACATCCCTCAGGGGTTGATTAACGTTGGGAGCTTTATACTTTTTTTTTATTCTTTATGTAAATTCGACCATAAGTGTATTTTGAATTGTCTTTCACGTAACTGCGACCAATATTTAGCTTTTTGCATTGTTCTGTGATCATCAAACTGGATATTTCAGGTACTGTTTGGACGTTTCTAGTTTTAGACAGTTGTCTTCTTCGGATTTTGCCGAATGTAAATTTAAAGAAATCTCTGTTAAACTTTTGTTTAGTAGAGCTTGTATTGTGTTTCGTTTTTTGACATTTTTGTGGTTTAATACCAAATTTTCTGACGTTTTCAATGAACTATTATTGTTTCAGACGTTATGGAGCAGTATTAGTTCTAGCTTATTCGGTTCAACGTGGTAGCGCTAATTATGCTTTTATGATCACTAATGTCTGACATTCCGAGGTTGGCGAATTATGGCGGCGAAGTTGATTAAATCATCAAAGGGTGAGTTTCCTTTTTCGACTATGTGCTTGAGTCATCAGTAAAATGGACTCTGAGTACAGTACGGTTTCTTTCAGAAGTGTCATCACTCTATTGCTAAGGATTTGGCCCAGCTACCGCAAGCACCCAGGTATTTGGATTGTTTACGATTTTTCAATATGTAGTCGTGAATTACAGGTTTGTTTGAGACTTAAGTGGGTGATATTGGTAGGACTTGTTCCAGCTTCAACGATTAAGAACTCCCCGATTTTATTTCGAAATTTTTCCCTTAAGAGCCAAAATGCAGTTTTCTATTGTGTAATGAATGACTTTCTGTTCAATAAACATGTGATGTTTACTCTGGTGGTATGCGGATCCTCAGAAAGAAGTTGTCTTCTGCTACATAGTTTCATTTTTTGCTTATTTTTTCATATTTTTGTTCTTGTATCATCATATGACATATTCTAGAGATGGAAATAGGTCGGGAAGATAAGTCCTGTAGAGCTTGCATTAGTGTCGAAGAACTTATGAAACGTGCCAAGCAGTTTGCCACAAAGCGCAAAGGAACTGAAGGTGATATATATATATATATATATATATATATATATATATATATATGTCCATACTGGATATAGTCTACCACATATATTATACATGTATATGTATATGTATAATGCAATCTTATATACATGTAAAAAAAGCTCAGTTGATCAATCATAGAGGGATGCGTCATGCATTCGACTTCATTAAGCGTCGTTTGGAGGTGATTGAATGCATATCTGGCCTTTGCAATGACTCGCGGTAGCCTTCCGATGTATCGACCCAGTGCTGCTATAATCCCAGACAAGTGTTGTATCAATTTTGCGACCCACGATGTGGAAGGCTTGGTGGGCCATGGACGCGTAGAGAGACCGTATGTGTGTTGCAGGACGCCACCGATCACTACGCTACACGCGCTCTTTGCATGCGTGTACATTTAATATATGTGTAAGTGTATTGTGGGAATATGTACCCATTTGTATATCCATGTATGTGCGTACGTATTATACATATGATATCTGTGTGTATTTATATATAATGATGGTTTTACTGTGTGAAATTCTTGCTTGGAGGAAACGATGCAGTAACAGGACAAGAGTCATCGACATCTCATGAATTCAAAAATTGTCCTGTTGATAAGGATGAGTTAGGTGATTCTATACTTTTTAACAATTATGAGATTCATATTAGTGATTTTATTCTATTTTAAAGGTCGTTCTACATGGAACTTACTACATACGGTGAGTGTGTACTATCCAGAGAAACCAACAGAAGTTGAAAAGCAGACTGCCTCAACTTTTATGGAAAGTTTGGCTAAGGTACGTTAGCTTAATTATTATATGTAGATTTGACTAAGTAATTTATTGTATGAAAGCTATACCTAGCTTCTGTATTAGTGGAATTGTGTAAATCTCACTTAATAAATCTGTAAAATAACCGCTAGCAGCTTTGTAGTAGTGTTTTCCACCACCACTGTGGAGATTTTATACGCAACGTTTTTCCGTTCCGACTCCATGCGAACTTCTTTTTCAGGCATTTTTTCTAACAATATTTAAAGGTAATTCCCAAGACCGACTTTCTGTTAACCTCGGCATTTATTGATAATTCAATGTTTTTCATCAATAAGCAGACACGAGGTTGTTAATATAGAATATGTTGGCGAAACGGGTAGACCGCTCTGCGTCCGCATAAAAGAACACCTAGTCGGTAAATCTAAACTAAAACAAAATACTCCACTAGGCGCGCATAGGATGCAAGAACACAACGGAGAAGATTTTGAGGTAGGAGTCACTATCCTTACGCAGGAATCAAAAACATCAGCGCGTAAAACTCTTGAAGCGTTTTGGATCAATGCCAAAAATTCAAAGATGAACCGCAAGGAGGAGTGTCTTGTCATCACGCGTGACCTGGCGCCATACCTCAGGCTGATCCAATGACCTGACATGGACACAGTTATCGACCATGTATTACTCTGTGCGGCGGCTGTCCACCAACTAACTTAAATACTTACAACAAATAAACGGTAGGTGTTTGAATGAAGCTGTTTCTTATGCGAATGCAAATCGATTTGTCAAGTTTTATCTGCTGGGGTTGTGAAAGTGTTTGGCTGAGTAGATCACATCTCAATTTGACCTTTCCAGGCTCTGAAGAAGGCGAATCCGCCGAAACGTCAGCAATTGTGTTCTAATAAATTCTATATTAACAACCTCGTGTCTGCTTATTGATGAAAAACATTGAATATTTAAAGGGAATTCACTGTTTTCAAAGTGCCCACTTGTGGATCTTTCTTTTCCGTTGACAATATTCATAGTTTACATGCAATGCAAGTTCTCATGTAACGCAGTGGTCGGAGGAGCCCTGCAATACATATGGTACCGATTCCACAGCCTCTTGCCCAACAAGCCATCCATCATAGCAGCACTGACTTGTTACATCTGTAGACCACCGCGAGTTATTGTAAAGGCCAGATATGTATTCAGTCACTTCCAACGATGCTGAATGAAGTCGAATTCAGGCTCTTCCTTTAGGGATTGGTCAACGCCGAGAGCTTTAACCTTTATCCTTATATGCATTATTGTTGATGTATATGTGTTGTGTCTTCATTTTCTACTGGGATCCGGAATATAAGGTCTAAGTGAACATGTCGCGATGCGAGTGCTCACCGACATTATTCACATTCTTTGTTATTACATGACCACTCATGAAATCTACTGTTCGAATCTCAACACTTCTTGGATTCGATTCGTTTTCCTCGCATTTGTTGTTTGCAAAGGTCATCGAACATTTCGCATTTTGTTGCTGCTGCTGCTTGAGGACATTGTCTTTTTTACAAATGTTGTTGAATACTCATCGAGTCGATTTTCCTTAGAATCTTGTAAATAACCGAGCTAAAGCATTGCCATGTGGATTTGAGGAGAGCGTTAGGGAGCGGGTCAAACCATCTCCTTGCTTCCTGAAGTACTTCACTAATCACTCCACCGTCCCTTCCCTCCCTATTTTCTATGTAACTACATTTTATAGGCGCTTTCTTGGTACCTTCTTATTGTTTGAGGAGTGGGAAGGTGCAATGTTACAAAAACTGCGAAGAAAACAAAGCATTCAATTTTTATGCGTTGTTGCTGTATTATGCCCAGTTGAAGATCGGGGATTCATAGAGATCTTATCAATTTCTGTAAACGAAACAAAGGTATGGTGATGGTTGAACTGCTGCGAAATGTCATTTCATTCTTCATGCTTTATGTCTGGTTTGATTATTGAGATTTCAGTTATATCCATGTGATTTTTGCGCAAAGGATTTACGAAGAGATTTAAAAGAAAACCCTCCCAAGCTTGGAAATCGTGAGGATTTCGCAATGTGGATGTGCCGGTTGCACAATAAGGTGATGCCTCTAATGAAGTTCTTTCGATTTCTTTGCCCAGAACTCTTTCTTATAAATCTCTGGGTTTATTTTGATGTCGTTTAGGTAAATCGAAGATTAGGGAAACCAGATTTCGACTGCTTAAAAGTTTTTGAACGATGGAGGGATGGTTGGAAGGATGGCTCGTGTGATTACTGAACTTTCCTTTGGGTGGCATTCTTTTTATGCTGTCATTTTATATTATGTGTGGAATTTCGGAATGAACCTACAATAGATTTTTTAAATGGATTTTGACGGTATTTCGGATGCCTTGTATACGTTTTTTATCACTGTTTAATAATGTTTTGCTCTGTTGGAATTATGTAGTGCTAAGCATTTTCTCTGCTCGTTAGAAGGTCGGTGGTCAGATCACAGTTTTTATGGTTTTATTAGATTTCATGCATCTTTAGTTTGATTCAATGTTCATTTAGTATTTTTCTGTTCCTTGTGCTTTTTGCAAACAACTTTACTCGATCTTCTCCTGCAGTCATGTTTCTGCATTCAGGCAGCTCTACCTTGTCGATGTTGAACAGCGAACAGTGGGTTTTAGATGCTGATACTTTTCTCGCCAACCCGCCACTAAAGTTAGATCTAGGTATTGGTTGTGTCTACGATGGCGTATGTACTCATTTAATCTCCACAGTGGTATTCTAGAAAAAATAGCTTGGAAAAGCCCGGTTTGTCATCGTCGTCATCGTCAAAGTCGCGGTGACAATGGAATAACATCAAAGAACGGTGTGCTACGACTTCTTCTCGCCGCGTTCCTTGACGTATTTTGCGAGACCCTTCCAGAAAGCCACAGGGAACACGTTAAGCATGGTATTAACAATAAGTTTATGATATTATGTGGGATACAATGACAGTGATGCTGAGGTATTTGCAAAAGTTGGACAAGAGGCCAGATTCGAATCCGTGATCACCCTTTTCGGTAGCTCACTTGATACCCACTACATCACAGGCATCCGTGCTCAGTTTTTCTTGTAGCCTCTTTTATACTGTACATGTGCTCCTCAGATCATTTCCGTTGATCGTTGATTGCTGATAGCACCTTTAGATAGAAAAATGGAAGAGGGAAAGGCAAACGAAAGGCCTTAGGTGGTGCAGTAAATGGCACGTGAGCTCCCTGAAAAGTTAATCGCGGTTCGATTCGGGTTAGCATCTAAGTATTGCAAATATCTCTGCATCATTGTGGTTTTATTTCACATAATCGCCTGCCGTAGAGAAAAAGTAATAGCCAGTAGATAGTGTTATACGTTGTATAATAAGTACGTTTGCTCTTTAGAACCTAACAATAGTTATTCCAGAGCTCTCGCTAACTCTTGTGAAGCTAAAAGTCGTGCCGTCACTGATATTTGCTGAGGAGTTCTCGTCGCTCCGAAAGTCGTTTGCTGGAGTTCTATCGTCCGTGCTGTATAACTGCTTTACATCGGATCCGAAGGTGGATTGTAGGTGTGTTGACGTGGCTACTAATGAAAGGTGCTTTGTGTAATCCTTTGCTTCAAAGTGTTGGTGACATCTGTTGACGGTACTCTGTATTTAGTACGAAAAATTTTAGGCTGCCAATTGAAGGTTGTGGGGCGTTGCTTAGTCGGTATCATACTGATTTCGAGGAAATAGAACAGATTGGTGCTGGTGGTTTCGGTACAGTTTGGAAGGTCTGAATTATTTTCACCTTTTTTTTTGGTTTTATTTCGATGTAGGTATTGAATTAAATGTGGTTGCAAATATCTAAGTATTAACAGCAGTATTAATTTATGTAATGTACCTTGCTTAACCGAATTATATACGATTATATCTAATTTCCTTAGCTTCAACCTAGTTTTTATTCAGGGAAACAGGTATTTTTGTGTGCGTGTGGCGCAGTGGTCGGAGACGCCCTATAGTAGACATGGAGTCGATCCCCACGCCTAAGGATCACCAAGCCTTTCATCCCTCCTTCGTCGCCAAATTGGTACTAGACTTGTCTGGGAGGTTAGCAGCGCTGGTTCAATACATCGGTAGGCCATCGCAAGTCATTCTAAAGGCTAGATATTTAGTTACCTCTAATGGTGCTTCATTAAGTCGAGCGCATCGCGCATTTCTCAGGGATTGGTCAACACCGGAAGCGTTTTTTGTTTTTTGCAGTAGCGCTTTTGTGGTATCCTAGTTCACTCTAACGTATATGTCTTTTTCAAGCCTTACGGCTCAAGGTGCTGAATTAGGTTGTAATTCACGATGTTGTTCGTATCCTTAACTTTAGTTCTTGTGCACTTTTGTTTATCGGAAACGAGCACACAGTTATTACATGGCTGGGTTTCTTTGTGCGTTATTGGTGATATTGATATCAGGTTAAAGTGTTGTTTGAGCAGACAATTCGTACTTCACTAGTTGGGAGACTTTGTCCTGGTTTTTTCCTGGTTTTTTTCCTTTTCCTTACCTAAATACAAAGTTGCATTAATGTTTTCAGTACATTCTTTTGTCATTCAAATTACTGAATTGGTTATAAATAATTGGTAACAGCACACACAGCGAAGCACACCTGCACTTCTAGTTAAGGTTTTTATGCAACAGGGAAGCCTACATTAAGTTACACTCTTTCATTGCGACTGCGACGAGAATGAGGTCATATCAATGCTCATTCAAGCGAGTTCGTATCTTGTGCGTACTTTTAAAAATAGCTTGCTTACCTGGGTCGAGGTGCGCTCAAATTCGTGCTGCTATGAAATTGCAACGTTGAAGTGGGGATGGAGACTCCATGAAATGTATTGTCGGAATGTAGTTGTTGTGCAAGCAAGATAAAGGATAAAAGGATAAAGCTCTCGATGCTGATCAATCCCTAAGGGATGCGCCGTGCACTCGACTTAATCAAGCATCGTTGGAAGCGGCTGAATGGATTTGGTCTTTACAATGACTCATGGTGGCACACCGACGTATCGGTCAGCGCTGCTGTCTTCCCGAACAAGTCTGGTACCAATTGGCCGACACCAAAGAGATGGAAGGCTTGGTGGACCAGGAGTAGGGGGATCGATTCCACGTGTGTGTTGCAGAGCGCCTCCGACCACTGCGCCACACGCGCCCCGGCAAGCAAAATAAGAGGCATAGATTCTACGTTATCTCATTTTTTCTCTTCAGGTGAAGTCGCTTGTGGATAGATGTTACTATGCAATCAAAAGAATACCTGTGAAATCTGATGTTAGCGCATTGGCTATAAAAGTACGTGTCTAATCTTTTCATCTTGACTATTGCTAATTCATTCATTATAGGTTCTCAATGAAGTTCATATTCTGGCAGCGCTTCATCACGAGAACATTGTACGCTACCACAGTGGTTGGACGGAGCTGCATCAGATGCGTAACAGGAGGAAAATTGGAAAGAATCACAACGATGACCCAATTAAAATAACGGAACTGTATGTTTGCAAACAGTCTAGAGACTCTTGTAGTGAGTGTAACACTCCCAGTTTTGGCGAGATTGATGAAATTTAGTGAGAGAGCATGAAAATAGTTGTTGCTCGAACATCTTCTAGTCACACAACTGTGTTCAAATAGACCGTTTGTTAGCAGGCTCCTATTTGAATCATAATTCATTGCATTGCCTCTCGATTAGCTCCGTAAATTGTATAGACCACAGATGTGTCGTACTGCTTTCCGAAGTTTAAATATCCTTTATCATTTTCAGGAATGACTCAGATACTGATGTGGATTCCTGTGAACCATCGAGCTCCGGATTAACAGGGACTGTGTTTACTAATAGGTTAATATTTCCTTGTTGTTGTAAGAGATCAAACGGTAACAAATTTCGGATTATATAGAGCTCAATTCAGTCGTCCAGTGAGTAATCAAAGCTCAAACACTGTTACCTCTGAAAATGGTTCCTACACCGGAACTACTACTCCGAGAATGAAATTTTGGGCACGATGTGATGGTGATCGAATTGCGTTTCCGGAATTTTCTGATGACGCGTTGCAACGCCAAGCGACAGGTTTATCACCAGAAGTGGTTGAGGTGGTTGATCCGATTTGTGAGGTGCGAACCATACGTCCATGAGTTTATTGTTTCAAAACCCATACATTTGTTAGGAGTGTATCCAAGTCTTTATTATTAGATTCGAATGCTGTTCTAGACGATAAAGCGGAAGAGTCTAAATATCACTGTACATTTGAGACTTTTGTCAAGATGCGATTATCCGGAGAGTATAAAAAGTCCTTTATAGGCACCATTCTTTTCTCTGTAATCTCTATGTTTAGCCAGTGTGGCGCACTGAAATCTATATACAGATGGAACTGTGCCAATGTAGCCTAGAAAAACATTTTAGCGAGAGGAATGCAAGGATTAAGTATTTGGGTAGGAACTATAGTTTCCTACTATCTTTGAATCGTTGGTAACCATTTCTTGTAGGTCTGTCCGACTTGTCCGTTGACGGCACATTCAACCGCGACCTTTCCATTCAAATACTTTCTGGTCTGGAATATATTCACCAAAATAATGTTATTCATAGAGACATCAAAGTACTCCAGAATCGTTTTTCCTATGAAGAATTAGAGTTACAACTATGAACACTTTTCGTATGTTTCTATGTTTCAGCCGAGCAACATCTTTCTCAAACGTCACGGTGGGCGTTTCCGCATACTCCTTGGTGACTTTGGGTTGGCATGCGGACACAATAACATAAACATTTCTTCTTGTTCACCTGAAATGTAAGCGAGCTATCTTCTTTTTACTTTTTTTACAAGGGGTCTTTAGAAAATGAGCGTCCAATTTAAACAATTTTTCAATGCGATCGAAAATTTTGCTTCTTATTGGTTTCCTTCCTTTACCGCTTTTCACTCAGCTGCTCATCAGCTGATTTTCCACCGTATGCCAATAGTTCATAGTTTATCTAGACGGATTTTATTCTTGAGTATGTGTTAGTAGATTTTCTACATTTCTTATTTTGACTCTCGTTGCTGAACTAGATGGTTATCGCTAAATGTAGCTGATAGTACGTTTCATTTATTCGTAGACTTGTGTAAAACTTTAGCTTCCTGTGATTGTGCATATCCTTATATGCATACTGCGGAGGTTCGTTTTCAGAAAATATCCGCTTATTTCATGTAGACCAGAGTGCAAAGTACACCGCATCTCTCTTAAGGGCTTTCCGTTACGTTATTTCAGGAATATTTCTAGGTTTCGGTTTCAGTT